GGATGAGACTTGCTTTTCGTGACTCGACCGCGCTTTGGGGTGCATGAACGCCTCAAGATCCCATCCCCATCCATGTTTATCAGTATTTTATCGTTTTCTGTGATTAGTGGGCCTAGTCCATAGCACTGGCTGGTGGCAGAAACTTGACTGCGCTGAATTCCTCTTCGCGCTTGAGTCTGTCTCTTCAAGCTGATCTACCTCAAACAGATCGTGCTTCAGACCAGGTCTATGACATGTAACCGATAGTATCATCAATTCTAGTTACGTGGCTATCCAGGATGAGGCATGAAACCAATGTTGTACCCCTAGAATCATGTTCCTTCGGCGAGCTAGTTTTGCTGAACCAACTCCGTCTGTCTACGCTAGCTAAATCGTCTAAAACCGTACCCATATGGAATAGATAAAATTAAATACATAAATTAAACAATAAAACACAAGAGCAGCGGACTAAACACCCTTCAAGCCTTCGTTACGTGCGGTGTCCAGCAGCGGGCGGCATCAGCGAGCCACTTGAACCGCACATGCTCGGCAATCAGGAGCGACAAGGGAGGTACGGCTTGAGATCTAGAAGGTTGACCAACGTTGGGCGGAGGTGGATCGGTAGGGACCCACGGCCACGGGTTAGACGTGGATGCCTGCAAGTCTTCTGCTGACACGCCGAGCCGTGCAATCCTCTCGGCCATCCACAAGGCGAGCCAACCACAAGTCCAAGGAGGTTCCTCCGTCTGGCCAGGCCCTTGGTGCCCGTAGATAGAACCCGGCTCGGGAACAAAGCTCCATTCAGTCGAGTCCGGCAAGAACGATTTAACAATTTCGACGCCGGTTTCTTCAGTCCCTCGAAAATGCGGATGGTGAAGGTTTTCCGATGCAGCACAACGAGGAACCAGTGCTGCTCTCGATTCGCTGGAAAGATGACAAGGCCATCTTCCGATGCAGCGACTGTGTCAGACAATGAATCGTTGCACTCCGAGAACATGATTTCTCGGTTGGAGTGACCTCGCAGTGATCTGTCCATGTCAGCAGTCCCGTTGGCGTTGAAGGTCTGCTGCTTAGGCAATCGATTACCTCATGCTGTGAGTCACCGCTCTCCGCAATCAAGCAACCGCGGTCCAACCTTAACACACACACACACACATCATACCCAAAAGGTGACTTTGACCCCATTTTGCGAGGTAATGTTTGCTTGTTGCAGGCGCCCGAAGCAAAAGTCAAGCGCTTCAGCGGACATCCACTCAGAGCCCTTGTCGTCGAAGGGCTTCAAGACTTGTCTCGCTGGCAGATGCTCGGACGCATCTATCCCAGGCGAATTGAGCTTGATCGGGATTCTCCCGTCATAGAGCTGAAGGAACTCCTGCACAGTTTGCAAGGCCTTCGGGGACAGGTTGGCGGCCGGTTGGGCAGCTGCTGAGATTGAAGCCGTCGACTCTGCAGACGAGTTGGCGGGCGGTTGGGCAGTGGCGGGGATCAAAGCCATCGGCTCGGCGGACAGTTCGGTGGGCGGTTGGGTCGACTCTGCGGACACGTTGTCGGGCGGTTGAGTAGCGGCTGGGATTGTGCGTGAGACCCGCAGGGGGTGTGAACTGCAAGGCCTGGCAGGCTCTCATGAGCCAACGGTACGCGAGAATTCTAGGCTTGGGGTGCACGGCGAGCTCTTTTTTGATTGCCTCGGGATCTGTCCACATGCTTGCCCACAGACGCATCATCAGGGTCGGCCTCGGTAGTTGAACAAGTTCGGTGAGGCCTGCGGAGGCTGCTTGTTGCGCAGAAGGGCGGCCAGGAGGAGTCTGCGGCGGTTGTGCGGACCTAGTAGCGCAGTCACGCCTGACTGTATGCGGAGGTTGCACGTGCCCTGCATGCGAAACAGAAGAAGAAGGGCGGTCACAAAGAGCAGAGAGAGGCGTGCGTTCTGCTTGGTCGACCTGCATCGGTTCAGCGGACCCAGAATCGTGGATGCGACTGCCTGCATGCGGAGCTGGAGCATGTGCCGTATGCGCAGCATGGGAAACCGATGCATGTGAAGCACGAGCAGGAGCACCAGCAGGACTATGTTGAGCAGGTGCACCAGCAGCAGGGGCTTGAGCAGGTGCTGTCCACCGGACTTTCGTTGCAGCAATATTGCGTCGTGTGACGGGGTCCAGGGGCGAGAAAAGCAACGAGAGCTCGGCAGCAGACACGCTCTTGCCGCTGGGGTGCCCAGGCATCGGAAAGCCAAAGTAGCGCTCTCCACGTCGTCTTCAAGCCTGGCATCAAGCTCCAGTTCTGGGCGCAACACGTTGCGTGCAGTGGGCATCAGCACGACACGGTCATCGTGGTTGTGCTTGACAAGGGAGAACTTGATTTGCTTCTTGTCGTCCTGGGGGAGGTTGCACATGTGATGGAAACACGCGTGCGGGTGCTGAGCGGGGCGACGAGGGTCGTGGCCGGCACGAGAAATTTGGCACGACAGGCGTACTCGGACGCGGCCTTCCCCCCACGAAACAATGAAACGCTGTCAACGCGGTGCAGCAGCTCGACGCACGCCCAGTCCGTGAAGGCATCCGGAGGAGCATTCGTGAGACGGTACCCAAACAGAAACTTGCCAAGATAGCTTCTTGTGTCGATGCGAATCTTGACACGAGGCGCGGTTCTTGGTGCTGCCGGCGCGCTGCAGCATGCCCAACATACGGACTGTGTTTATATAATGTGAGTGCGTGTCACTAGATGTGCTTCGACCCGGTCTTTCCGGAGAAAACGATTGAAAACGTCCTGTCCGCAGCTGCCGCAGCCGCAGGTGTAGCCACTTCGAGGATTTCCATCCTTTCGCGACTCCGTGCCTGCCACGATCACCCCAGAGATCATATGACACTCTAAGCTATGCGACTGGCTGGGAGAACACCGGGGCATTGTCGGAACGACCAGAGCAGACTCGCCCGAATTGGTCGACGAGAAGAGTGA